CGGCCACTTCGGATTGCGCCTCGCGAGACCCGCAACGGCCATTTATCTCTTGCCGGATGCTAGCAATTAAACAGGGGTGAGCCCCTGATTTATAAATGCACCCTAGCTTATGCTAGCTGCTGATTTTACTGGAATACATCTATACTAATATTACTGGGTGTGAGCCCCCCATCATATTGTTATATTCCCTGGTACCTTACCTTGCTAGAAAATATTGGCCATTTGATCTGTCTGTCACTGTTACAGCTCCTATGATTGGCCTTTCTGTGCCACCGTACCTTCCTACAGGATATACTCCTGGAGGTTTTATTATTACTAGGTGAGCCAAGTAATTACAGATATGTATATTGGAATCGGTGCAGAAATTGGCATCTGTTCACCTTGCCTGCTACAGGGACCTGTCAAGGTTAGTATTAACCTAGGGGTGGTTCAGCCAGTCAGATTTATACCTAGTAGCCCGGCTCGGGGTGAGCCTTCATATACCGCTGCCGAGTGGAGCTGTGCTCATTTCACCTGTGTGACCCCAAGCGTTGCCTCTACATACATTACTATGGGTCGCATTCTTGACCATAACCCCTAGCAGTCCCTGCTACCAATTTGCCTATTTACTCACTAATCTATTGGGTGAGCTCCAAGTATACTGGGTGTTAATAATGGAAGACTCATATGCCCTCAGACCATCCAGGCAGTAATCAACGCAACAGTTGCCACTTCTGTGGAGAAGGCCTCAGCCAAGTCGTTCCAGCCACTCAAGATGCAACCAAAGCACCCGCTAAACGCTCCCAACAGAGAGATGTCGGAGGAGTCCGACTCCTCTTTCAAGGAGCAAGGCCACCCTGCTAAGCGTCAATGGATAGGCGAAGTGTAAAAAAAAAATCAAACCTCGCTAAGGGTAAAGCTCCCCTAAAGTACACGGCCTGTTAACCCTCCAACTTATGACGCTTCTACGGACGAGGAGCAGGAGGTCACACCATCACTATTGTTTCTAGATGAATGACAAGCAGAAGATCAGGGGACATAGGGTCCAAACTCCTTTGTGAAGGAGACCTTTTTGGGTGAGCACCAGCTTGTGGGTGATGTTAAGGAAGAGCTGGTTTCGTCACAGCCAGATGGCGAGCTCTTTTTTGATACTACGTGCCAACGCTGTTTGACCTGATAAACATTTGTCACACATGCACTTCGGGCTACAGAAGGCACTGTACAAGGAGATCCAAACCGGCTGAGATCAGAGTTCACTCCGGATAAGGTTGCCTATACCTCAGAATTTGACCAGATGATGCTGGACTTCATGGCACGAGGGGGTAGAGATCCAAGGAAAGGGGTCAAGAAAGGGTTCAAGGGAGCCCAGGGTAAGCTCCTTGATGCAGTCTGGCCACTCAGCCAGTTTCTGACCATAACGGATGAGGCATACACCGAGGCTGAATCCTTTCAGCAGACAATACGCGCGACGGGGAGCATGATGTTCATGAGTGGACCCAGAAATGTTTTGCTTCCTGGGCAACACATATGTGGCCTTCTTTTCAGAGAAAGGTGAGGCAGCCTTATTCCGAATTGATGGCAAATTGGTAGACCTCCGGGATAAAGAATTGGGCCCACAGGCACAAGGAAATTATTTGGTGAGCCTTTCATGAAAGGCTAATGCTTATTCAAAAGAATCTGCTTAACCCTTGGGGGTCACAGCTTTCCCCAGCAGGATTGACTCAGCCCTTCAGCACTTTGATGTAGAAAAAATTAATACCATTAAATTGGGTAAAAGTTACATCAATAGGATACACTTAGAAAACCAGAAAATATCTGAATGTCTCTTTCCTAATTAAACATTTTTACATACCACCATTTCAAGTTGGAAGGTATCCATCTATTGCGGCACCTCTGGCAAGGGGGAGATTGGTTTACCCACCTGGACTTAAAGACGCCTTGCTGCCTGTACCAGTAGACAATGGCAGTTGTCCCTCCTGTTGGTTCCTCTGGAACGGGACACCATGGCAATTCAACTGCCTCCCCTTCGGGCTCAGTTTGGCACCACGGTTCTTTATGAAAGTTTCTGAAACCAGTGATGGCTCACTCACGGGGTCAAGGCATACAATGCCTGGCTTACCTGAACTACATTCTACTCTCCAAACACAATCGCAACCACCTTACCCATGATGTAAGAAAAACCTGCCTGGAATTGTTGGCAGATGCCTCTGCTATCCAAAATCTAACAAAAGGGAGATCGGATTGCTGTATCCTGCTACGCATGTACAATTTATCCGCAGTTCGACCACTTAGGTGGCATTTGTTTTCAAATACTGACGCACCTAACGAAGGAAATCTTTGCTATTGCCTACCACGCAATACCACATTGATGGCGGAACATCTTCCAGGGGAAACCTCTCAACACTGGAGGGACAACAATGATTGGCACCTAGCTCTACACCTATTGGCAACACTGAACAACCTGAGAGGTCCAATCACGAATGACCTTTCGCGTCTAGCACCAACCGCCAACTACCAAATTTCTCCATCTTATTACCAGACCCGGAGGGTGCAGCGGTAGACTCATTCCTGCAGGAATGGCCAACCAAAGGGGCTTACGCAGTTCCAACCTTTGCAATGATCGCGAGAGTGGTTCACCACATCAGATCGCTGGAAGTGGCAATCCCCCTGGTGATGCCCTGGGGGCAGAGCCAACCTTGGTCCACAGATCTCCTTGCACTGTCATACCAGGACCATCTGCTATTAGCAGATGATCAGATGATACACATGGATTCCATGGGGAATCCTCATCCCATGCTACAAATAGGAAATCTCTCTTTAGTGGCCTGGAGTCTTTCGGAGGTGTTTGATGCACCAATACCTTATCGTCAATGGCTAGAAATATACTCTGGGACTCATGGGCCCCTGGAATGAGGAAGTGTTACCTCTCAGCTTGGAATTTACAGGTCAATTGGTCAGATTTCAGACATTTGAGCACTCCATGTGGACGCCTTCTCATTTTCTCTGGAAGGTGTCACTATTCGGATGCCTCGACCTATAAGATGGACTCAACATCATTTTTTTACCCATTTTTTTCATCAGAACCCAACTTTACGTGGTCCAGACACTGCACGCCTACGTACGGCTATGGCCACGCTAAATTACCTCTTCCAGACAATTATTGGTGTCCTACATTAATCCACATGGGTAAATCTCGGTTACCACCTTGACCCTCTGGGTACAATGGCTTTTATCTCTTGCTGGGACTGACCCTTCCTTCAGCGTGCACTCGGATCAGGGTGCAGCAGTCTCTTCCGCCTTCACAGCTGGGGCCTCCTTATCAGATATATTGCTCTTGGCAGACTGGTGACGAGAAACCACCTTTCGGACGTTTTACTCTCGCCTGTCCTCCATTGCCGCTTTCTCTCTATTACCTTAGCGTATTAGCGTAAATTGAATATTATGCTAGCTTTAGTGTACTAATAATCTTAATTTTAACAATGACAGGAGGCGAGTATTTTTCTCCCTATTGAATTTCCCTCCCATTCAGGTGGGTTCGCATCTCCAGGTAGGTGATGTATGTTATCAAAATGGTAGTGGTAATTTTCTTGTGACTACGTAATTGATTCTATTCACTCTAGATGGAAAGTTGGGGTTGTTTTTCATATATAGTTGATATATGTATAGATATTGTTTATTAGGTAGCTATATTATAGTACATATGTTAAATTTTATAGATCATGATAGATTGTGATAGTACCGAATTATTGCACACTTTTTATGTGAGGGTTACTCATATTGTTCAGGTTTACATTTCATATCACTAAAAAGCTCTCGGTCTCTTTCAGCTTAAAAGACACAAAGAGATCTTCAACATCAAGCGTGCAAGGATTGTCGTTGTTCCCAGTTTTGAATGAATCCTATTGTTCATCGTTCTTGAAATTTGAACTGTCTTCGTTATTCCGTATGGTTCTTTAGTTGATCGTGTGACTTGTGATGTCGCCATTCTCAAGAGGAAGTGACTCAGTGGAAGGCGTATCTTATACTCTCTGCCTGTCTCTGATTGGTTCCTTTTTTTCTCTATATGTCTTTGCTGCTATGGAGTAGTAAAGGAAGTTTATGCAAAATACTCGCCTCCTGTCATTTTTTAAATTATGAATATTAGTACATTAAAGCTAGCATAATCTTTAATTATTGTTGCATAGCATAATGTGGTTATTAGGAAAATCTTATCGACTTGAAATAAATTAAATATCACGTGTATATTTTTAACTAACTATTTTGTTTATTTTGTATGTAGTGTTATTAAGAAAATATACTGATTTAATGCTATAAGCAGTCTTTTATTATTGATACATTTTCAGGTTCTCAAATCAGTATACCAGAAAATTTTACTGATTCACATTTTTTTTTCCTCTGGGGCAGGAAGGATGTGATGATTATCAAAATTAGTAGGTAGAATTTGAACGGAAGGGTATGTCTGTCTGTCTGCTGATAAGTGGATGGAATGAATACGTAATAGGTGGTGTAACAATGAATAAAGCAGAGACACCAGGGAGGAATTGATCTCCAAATTACCCCCAAATTTCATGAGGTTGAAAATTTTAGGGCCCACTTATAAAGCGCTTTTAAGTTTTATCCTTGCTGATAAATAAGTAGGCCCCGTTCAGCCCTTTTGCTCTGCATAATACCTGCTTATCACCTCTGCGCATACTCCTATTTCTGACTATTACCTTCAAAAACTCCCTCTGTCTTCCCCGGTCTCCAGTCAAAAAAATCATTAAAGACCCACTACATCAAAAAGGATTGTTAATTAAACTATTAACATCCTTCCTCCCTCTCCTTCCCCACACCTCAGTAACCTGCTTCACTAACCTGCTTCACTTCCTCTCCTAAAACTGTCATATAATGTTTATATAATGTTTATAGATCTCATTTCATTGTTAAATCTAATTGAAAACAACAGTTACTATGTATGAAATGATTAGTAAATAGAAAAAATAGTGAGAGCACTCAAAGAAATTAAAATAATATTACACAAAAGATGATAAATAAAATTTGTAGGAAAGTCCCATAAAAATAGTCCTAGATTTTTATGGGACTTTCCTACAAATTTTATTTATCATCTTTTGTGATTTTTATTTAATTTTGGAAAATAAAGAATTGTGTTAACCCCTGAACCTGCGTTCCTGGTGGCACATTAGATAGAATTTTGAGAAGAACCCAGCTAAAGTCCTAAGGAGTGATTTGTTCCAGGCGTGCAGTCTGAGCCAGCTTTATAAGTGGCTCCATCTATGTGAGTGAGACCAACACATAATTTTAAGTGTCTTATTCATTACGTTATTACCCTATGATATTTTCTGTTTTATTTCAGAGATTAACTACATTTTGCGTAATATTATTTTAATTTCTTTGAGTGCTCTCACCATTTTTTCTATTTACTAATCACTTCTGTTTGTTTAGTGATTATTGTGGCCCACTAAGGTGATAGTAGCACCAGCACTTCATTTATTCTCAGGATATTTCACTTGTGTATTGTATTCTATTTATGTATGAAATGCATTTTACCGTTACCTTTTGTGTAGTTATATCCACTCTCCCTAGACTTTAAGCTTAAGTTTGAGCAGGGCCCCAACCACCCACTGTTCCTGCATGTCCAACTTGTCTTGTTGCAACTAATTTCTTGTTAGTCCGCCTATTGTATAGTCTCGCAGTATATATGTGCCTTGGCTGGTGTTATGTCCATGTGATGGTTCCTCTTTAAACTGACAGTGATCTGGTTAAAGTGGTTCTGTAGTTTTAACACTTCAAGGTAACGTATTGGCGTTTTTCAGAAACAGCAATTCGTACCCTGAAGGGTTAAACACTCTTCTAGTGGCTTTCATACTGACAGCTACTACAGATGCTTCCACTGAGTAAAACAAATGCAACAACTGAGTAAAACACGGTCATCTGACATTGCGGCTTATAGGAAAGCACTGGATTCAATCCTTTCTGATGAGAAGCATTAAATGTAGCCCAAGAAACAGCCCAGCTAAGGGGAATGGGCCTTGACAGGACTAGGAGACAGGAATAGGAGGGGTTAATGTTTGGGGACTGGCTAGCATAACTGGAAGAGGGGTTTTGTGTTAGAGGAGCATATAGAGTGGCCATTTTAGATCAGGGGACCTCTTAATTAATCCTCACTTATCTGTTTTGTCCCACCCTTCCTTAGTTGGTCTATAGCTCTCGTTTGGTCACGGCGGCAGGGGGTGGATAGAGAACTTGGGGTGAAGTTGTTTGTCCTGTTGGAAAATAGTTTGGTTCGCTAAGAACAGTTTGGTTGGGAAGAGTGTTGGTAGGTTCTAACTCGCACGTAGCTCGGAACCTGGTGTGTCTAGGGTGTATTTCGGTATGCCCCTACATGGAAGAAAGGTGGTAACTATGCCCTCGGTGGCAATTGGTTATGTCATGCCCTCGGTAGCAATGGTTATGTTTACATGTTAATGATATTATAATGTGGTTTTACTTATTGTGTTGTGGGTCATTGTCTGGTGTAGTTTTGTTAAAGGACTTGGGGGGATATGTTATGTTAATGTGACAATGACCTTAAATTATTTAAAATTATTTATATAGTAATAAAGCGGAGATACTTTCCCAAATAAAGGTGTCTGAGTATTTGTTGGGAAGGGGTTTTGGGGTTATCACGCATATGCCGGAAAGGCGACTATGCATATGTCATGCACATGCCTCCTACTGCACATGCGCATCAAGTCCACAATGCTCCTCTATAAGTGAGAGGTCAGCAATGCCAAAGGAGTCTCAGCTCTGGAAAAAGATGAGTAGAATCCTTTTTATTGCTATGTTTTTTATTATAAACATGGGGGCACAATACAATAACTATGGACTAGGGTACTTTATCGTTAGGAATACAGTAAATACACTTAGAGTAAATACACTTACATTAAATAACAGGAAGTTAGATACTGTTTATGAAATACATGGAAACAAAATTGGTATCTATTCACCTAGCTTCAAGTACTTTCCTTTCACTGAGTAATCACTAAATAATTTAACGTTTTTAGCTTTTATTAAAACCCGGAGCATAGCAGAATTTTCTTTTACTTTTTTTTTTTTAAACTAAATATAGACTTGACTGCCGCTACATTAACAAAAGTAACTAGATATGTTTCTGTGTGGATAAGAGATCGCACACAAATGGTTATGGTAGGGAAGTTAATTTCAGGTCCTGCAACTGTTGATGGTCTACAATTCCTATAATTCTTTAATTGCAAAAGGCTAATTAACTTGATTCCCAAAATAAATAAATAAAACAGGATTGCAAATCTAAATTTGCTCATAGCACATTATATGAACATAGTAGATACAACTTTCTGCTTATATATATGGCAAGATTACCAGCGTGGCCTATCAGTGCCTAAATATTGCTGTATCACTGAGTGTTACCCAGCTGGGGCACAAGGCCTTTGGATAGATTTGTGCAGCTTTTTTTGTGGCCATAGACATCCAAAGAATAGAGTATTAGCTCTTTGCACTTAGTAATAGGCCTTTACTGCAAGAGAGTTCACAGATACAAATGCCCATTCCCCAATAATAGTGATGGGACGATTTTTTTTTAGAAGACAGGAGAAGAGATATAATTAAACAGAACACATTCTGGTCAAGACTAACACATGGAAAAAGTTGGTGAACAATTGTAAACAAATGTAATACATTTTCTAGAGGCCTTGTCTGTCAGATGAATGCCCACACTCTATATGGGGCTCACATAATTACTAAGAGGGTGAAGCTAGCCATACAGAGCCCTTTGCAAAAAAATCTTCACAGCACCCTGGCCAGTCATACCCCTTTATTTATGTACAGTGTGTGTATAGGGTTGTAGTGTTTGTATAGGGGATATATTAAATTAATAATTATTTAAAAACAAATATTTATTCCTCCTTCCGTGTTGTTACCTTGCAGGGAGGGGGAATTCTGCTCTCTGGTGTTCCACTATGCTGGGAATCTGGTCTGCACCTCCACCGGGTGCAGACTATTAGTAACTGTCTCGCGAGCTCAGGCACATATAGTGTCAGAGCTTTCCTGTGGTAATCTCCAGCAATGCTCTGATTGGGATTGGGATTGGGATTGAGCTCAGGAGACAGCCACTCATGATCTGCAACCAACAGAGGTGCCAAAAGGTGCCAGACTGCCTCTCCAACATAACAGAAGGGCAGACTAAGTATTAAGTGCCGCTGTGAGTTGTTTTTCCTCAAAGCTCTGGATTTTACTTATTTACCTTGACATCCTTTGAATAAAAACACAGTATTGCACTGTTTATCATTTTCTCACTGAGTTTCACAGCAAAACAAAAAAACCTCACAGTACTATGTGGTGTGTACCAGTTTATCACAGAACTACACAACAATAAAACTCCCAGTAATGTGCAGTGTATGGGTATGTCACAGAGCTCCACAACAATACAACTCCCAGTAATATGCCTAATAGTGTATTACAGAGCTCTCCAACTATAAAGCACAGAGTAATGTGCTATTTGTATGACAGAGCTCAACTGTAAAGTCTCATAATAATATGATGCAATGTTTGTGTTGTCTGTGTGTGATAGGCTCAATGGCTGTGTGTTATATGTAAGCTATGTGTTGGCTGTGTTTGATATTTGTAATGGATGTATTGCCTGTGTGGGATATATGTGTGTATTGGCTGTGTGTGATATTTGTGCTGGGTTTATTGGCTGTGTGTGATGGATATTTAAATTTAGAAAAAAATATGCACGTAGACCCATGTATGAATGCAGGTGTGTATATTTGCTGAGTCACATGCATTCTGTCCCACAGTCACATGTACACAGCTGTACACATATACTGTCAAATACAGCCACATGCACACAGTCCAGCGCACACAGGCACACACACAGTTACAGGCAGACAGTCACAAACACACACACACACACACACACAGTTACAGGCACATAGTCACACACACAGTTACAGACCATCATACACAGTTGCAGGCAGACAGTCACACACAAACGGTCACACATACATACACACAGTTACAGACAGTCACACACACAGTTACAGGCAGACAGTTACCGTTTTCCATTGTGGGCTGGAGGGGGAATGGAGTGGAGGCACTGCAGTCCCTGGAGTCTAGTTGTTTTGGGAAGCAGTAACTAGCCACATGCAGCTCTCCCTCTGATCTCCATTTAGCTCTTCCTCCATCACCATTTAGCTCCACCCCAGATTATTAGGTTTTCTGATAGACCTGGGTGCCTCGTGGCCACGCTACATATTGCAACCTGCTTTATATGGGTGCTCTGTGCACATCCTTCACACCTGTCATCCGGGGCATGTGCGAGCTATGATGACCGCATGGCACCCCTGCTGCCATTGCACCCTTGCGGCCGCACAGCTCACACACCCCTGCTGCCATGGCACCCTGTGCGGCCCACAATTGGCACACCCCTAAGGCCAACCATGAAGCTATACTTATCTCCTACCATATCCTTACTGAGGTGGAGTAGAACTTGGGCATTTGTACACTCTGATCTCTGTCTCTGCTGCATCTCAATGTGTATAGTCTAAGGGTGGATGATAGGATATAAATGAAGTCGTATGACAGTACATGTTGGAGCGTCCTTATAGAGAACCAACAAGGACAATGCTCCATCCTCCACTAGCTATTCTACATACCACACTTTTGTATTTATTAATACATATTTTGCTTTTCTGCACACAGTATGACAAATAAAATAAAAACATTTCATATTGAGTCTATCAAAATATATAATAGCTTCCTTGCTTTTATCTAATTAAGTGCTTTGACTTTACAGCACTTCAAATTAAAAATAGTTTCTCTGTGAACAATTTCACCCAAATCAATGACTATGACTCAAAAGAGCTCTTTCTAAAGCAGTCTGCTTTACATTTATCATAAACAAAACAATACAATTGTATTAATGCAATCTTGTTTCACTTGTGTACCTTAGGCTTTTGTTAAAAGAATTGCAAAAGCTACATTACAAGTGCATCACCACTGTGTATGTCAATTACTTTCTCAGATTATTTTTTTAATCAAGTACGCATTCAGAGATCGCTGTAAAAATGAAAGCTAATGGTGCACAAAGAT